AACAACGATCAACACGTGCCAGTTGCCAAGTATCTGAATGTTGATCACACGACCACAAAGATGTTACAAGGATCATAAGTGTGAAAAACAGTCAGAAGTTCCATTTTTTAATATCATCGTAGCTTTGAAAGATCACTAAGCAAATGGTTGTAAGCTGAGGACTACCTGTATAAGGATATTGTTATGACAGTTCTGCCAGTTTGAAATTATATGCATGTGTGTGTGTGTGTGTGTGTGTGTGTGTGTGTGTTATCTATGGTACTATAGCTGTAGTTCCTAATTTTATTCAAAAAACTGATATAGGATAATTTCATTTCTAAGCTCATTTATTTTTGAATGTCACAAAGAGCTGCAGCATTGCAGGAAATTAAAGTATATGGTTTAAGAGTGTACTCACATACAGTTGTTGCTGGGATTGGGTAGGTCCAGTTTAATGAAAAGAAGAACTAGGGGTGACACAATAGCAGTGTTCAGCTATCTCAGGGGTTGCCACAAAGAAGAGGGAGTCAAGCTATTCTCCAAAGCACCTGAGGGCAAGACAAGAAGCAATGGATGCAACTAATAAAGGAGAGAATTGATTAGCAACTAATCAAGGAGAGAAGCAACCTAGAATTAAGGAGAAATTTCCTAACAGTTAGAACAATTATTCAGTGGAACAACTTGCCTCCAGAAGTTGTGGATGCTCCAACACTGGAAGTTTTTAAGAAGAGATTGGATAACCATTTGTCTGAAATGGTGTAAGTTTTACTGCCTAAGCAGAGGGTTGGACTAGAAGACCTCCAAGGTCCCTTCCAACCAGGGGTGGGATTCAATTTTTTTAACAACCGGTTCTGTGGGTGTGGCTTAGCTGGTCAACGTGGCTTGCTAGTCATGTGACTGGGTGGACGTGGCCAACTCAACATCACTCACATCAAGGGGCACTTCTCCTCGCCTGGCCTCTCATGACAGTGGGGATGCTGCAATGGTCATGTGAAAAATGGTCATAAGTTACCTTTTTCAGTGCCATTGTAACTTTGAATGGTCACCAGTTTTAGACCAAAACTCAAAAAGGGTATGTAAACACGTTTGTCAATCTTTCTACCTAACCAAGATGCCTTGCTGAATGTCACTCAACTTGGTTCCTTGTCATTAAAAGCTTCTTTCTGGCAGCTCTGCTTCATTATTCAATTATTTCTTCAAAGTGCTAACTCCAACAGGGGAGTATTTCCTCCCAACAGCAGTGTAAAAAGCTTAAAACAACCCTTCCCCTTTAAGAAAGTACCAGCAAAGAAAAAAAACCTCCTTCGAGGCAGTAAGTCTAGGCATACTGCCAAGAATGTAAGAAGGGTAGAGAAAAACAAAAGGAAATTTCTTCCAACAACCGGTTCTCCGAACTGCTTAGAAAGTTAACAACTGGTTCTAGAGAATAGGTGAGAACCTGTAGAATTCCACCCCTGCTTCCAACTCTGTTATTCTGTAGTTCTACAGTCTCAGACTGGCACAAACGTTTCTGTATGTATCCATTTTTATTTTTAACCAGACTTAAAATTTTAAAATGTAGCAAATAGGAATAGGCTGGTTGGAAAGATCATTAATGTATGAAGACTTCAAAAGCAATTTGCTGTTTGGGGCCCTGTAAGAACTGAAATATTTATCCCCTCAAAACAAAGGGTACTGCCAAAGTGGCTGAACAACTGGGTGATTTTAAAGCAACCAGACATTTTAGAGTTACATTTAGGACAAATGGCTGGCAGTTTTAACTAATGTAGCTCTTGTGTTATTAATATGATTATGCAAGCATTCACCCTAGTAGCCTAAATCAAGAGTTGATCTGAGTCATTTATCTTGCCTAATATAATGGTGGGTATCACTTTCAGACTTTCTAGCCAGATGGATGAAGCACTTCGATTCTGAAAAATTCTTTTTTTTTTTTTTTTGCTCCTAACATTCTTTTTGATTTCCATTCTTTGTGCTCAGGTCAAAATGTTATTTTTTTTTTCTTCCTTCCCTATTCCCACAGTAGCTCCATGATTGTTAAGAATTGACAGTCTCCTTTTTATGTTCTTTAGTGCCCAGTTTTGTCTGCTCCTTACTTTATCAATTTCTGGCATGATAGAAAAAGGGGATAAAATAGACATATTTTCAATGTAGAGCATGCAAAGTAGAATTTATCATAATTCATTATTTTTAGGAATTTGGGCATCAAACTTCCTAATCAAGCCCTAACTGATAATGAGAGAAGGGCAAAAATGTTTTATTATCAATCATGCATTGTAATATTTATTTTGCATTTTTTTTTCAAAATACATGGATGAATTCTGGCCAGGTCTGTGCAGTAAAGTACTTTTCAGTAATATAGCAATAGCACTTACAATAGCACTTAGACTCAATAGATACATTGTGCTGTGGGTATCCATAGTCCAACAGAAAACAGTAAGTTTCCAACTTTTCCTTCTTAACAAACATAATTAGTTCCAATGGGGAAATTCTGGTTAGGGATTTACTACTTACTATTCTAGGTTTTTCATTCTGCCAGCAAGAAAATAGGATCAGATGATAAAAGAAGCTCTAAGAAGAACATAGGAATAAGTGATAAATCTGGTACTTTATAGGTCCTTTTTTTAAAAAACAACAACCAAGATTCACAAATGCACTTTTCCCACATGGCAATCTTATTCAGAAAACTTCACTCAGAATTTCCCTTTTGTTCTGGAACCAGCAAAAGTTGAAAGCCTGATAAATATGGGACTGCGAGGAATAAGAGATGTATCAGTCTCATTAGTGATAGTTTAACAGATGCTGAAAGACCTTTTTAATATTGTTCCATATGTAATGCATATTATGTATTCTATTGCTCTGTAGGACAAAGTGGATCTTGGCGAGTTGATGTTTTCGCTTTGCTATCTTCCAACAGCTGGCAGACTAACCATAACTATAATAAAAGCAAGAAATTTAAAAGCAATGGACATAACTGGAGCATCAGGTAAGAATATGTTTCACAGTGCCCTAAGATTATTTTTGTATGTGTGTGTGAGATAGGCAACTATGTAAATTAAACATTATAAATAACAAAAATATTGTTGGCATGCATGTGGCAGGGATAAATTTGTGCCTTACTCAATCTTAAATTGCTTAAAAGTTAGTTGTGTAAAAAGTCTGATAAATAAAAAGAGATAGTGAACTTGTTAGTGTTTTTCTTTCCTTCAATTGGGGTACAGAAGAACTGCAGTTTATTTTCAGTCCTTGAAACCTGAGTGAGTCTGAAAAATGCCAATTCCAATATGTTAACTACTCACCCCCTGGATTTGCTGTGTTTCTGACTTGCCTTAATATTTTTTCCTATCCTCCTTTGAAATAGGGCTAAACTGATATGACAGCTATTGGCTAAAGAAATCCAAAGAGGAGGGTGGCCCTATCTCCAAATTTGATTGACTATATCACATTTGCCTTCAATACTAAATTGCAATTATTTAGGGGAGGGGAAATATTTAAAAAATGAATTTTACCCTAATAGTAGCAGTAACTTCTAAACGATTTCTGATGATATTATTGAATATACAGAACTATCTGCCCTGGGCTGTTTGTGTGTTTGGAATGGATTAACCCTTCTATTGAGAGAGAAGGATTTTAGTTTAGACTTTTTGTAAAAGCTCTGTTAAACAGGGGCTGGACTGTGTATATTTGTAGGCACATTAACATTGGAGATCTAGCCCAGTAACAAAATCACTATTCATTTGGATCTCATGAACACAAAAATGGTCCAAGTTAATGGACTAATAGTATTCCCCAGGCAGCATGATGACAAGGAAGAGCAGAAAAAGTCAGTTATCCCCCTGGATTACAATACTTCTAAAAGTGAAATAGGCCTGCCTACTAAAAATACATAGCTATAAAAAGAACAGCCAAATATTTTGAATTCTGGCATATTTTTGTTGCCTGTTTGCTTATTGCAAACTTAACTGCAAATTCCTCTACCTCTACATTTACCCTACCCCCCCCCCCCCCCCCAAAAAAAAGTTAGAAGCTGTGATTTAATGATGTGGGTTTGTCCTCAATGTAATGTAAAAATGTTCATTTTTATCCCAAGAAATAAGTTCTAAAAGAAATTAGCAAGGTCATGAATTAAATCATTTCTTTTTGTTCAGTGAGAAGAGTATAAAGGCAGGGCAGCTAAGTCATACGAACAGATTGGTCAAACTTTAAAATAAAGCAAACTAAAATTCCGAGGTTCTTCTACCTGTTACACAGATCCATATGTGAAGGTGTCACTGATGTGTGAAGGGAGACGATTAAAGAAAAGGAAGACTTCTATCAAGCGGAACACCCTCAATCCTGTTTACAATGAAGCCATAGTCTTTGATGTCCCTCCAGAAAGCATTGATCAGATTCACTTGTCTATAGCCGTTATGGATTATGACCGGTGAGATATCTGGACAGCTATGAAAAACGATGAGTGGAAGCTCTAAATTAGGATGTGCAAACCTGAACAAATGTTTAGCACAAAGGCGGTATTACGAGTTCCTGCTAAAATTGTTTTTGGTGAAAATAAAATTAACACGATAGTTTCCTTCTTTGGTTTTTCTTAATTTCTCAGTCTGATGTAAATGGGATTTCCCCCCCCAAATATTAATCAGGTCTTAGCTTTTCTAATCAACTAGATGATACCAACTGTCCAATAGAAGACTAGAAACACATGGTTTATTTGTAAGAACTAAATTTCTGAGCTGCAAACTGCCCAAGCAGCTTAGGTGTAAAAGGTGGGTTTTTAAAAACTGAACATTAATTTCAAAGTGAACATTTAGAGAAATAGGCAAAGAAAGGACATTTCTCCTAATAGGAGGGAAAATCCTCTACTTGTGTCTTTGATCGGCTTACTTTGCAGAACAAATGCTAACTTTGCAGAAGTGATTTTCATTGGGGCTTTTGCAGGAGAGAAAAAGGTTATATTTATGCTGTTCCCCTACTATGATCTCATTAGCATGAACTGCAAAGATATATTTAAGAACCCATCTGCTTCACTATTAGATCATTTGGACTGCATAGTTCCTGAATGCATAATTTTAAGAAATAAATATTATTGAACATTTTCACAGTGTAGGTCACAATGAAGTAATTGGAGTCTGTCAAGTAGGCAACGAAGCAGAAAGTCTTGGGCGAGACCATTGGAATGAAATGCTCTCCTACCCCCGAAAACCCATTGCACGCTGGTATCCACTTGCAGAGGTAAGACAAATGAGCTTTTACAGGAAGATGATTTTTTGCTTAAAATTACTCTTCCTTCCTTCCTTCCTTCCTTTCTTCTCTTCCTTCCATCCTTTCCCTTCCTTCCTTTTTTCCTTTTCCTTCTTTCTTTTATCTTTCTTCCTTCCTTCCTTCCTTTTTCCTTCTTTCTTTTTTCTCCTTTCTTTTCTTTCTTTCCTTTCTTTTTTCTTTCCTTTCTTTCCTTTTCCTTTTCTTTCTTTTTTTCTTCTTGTTTTCTTTTCTTTGTTTCTTTTTCCTTTTTCCTTTTTTTGTGTGTGTGGTGGGTGAGGGGGTGCTGATGGTTTTGAATCAGTATTGATGTATGGTGATTGCCTGGACCCTGCAGTTTCTTGGCAAGATTTCACTAGCACTGGAATAAAGAATCCGTTTGCTTAATGTAAATCCAATAAAACATATTGGAATCCCTGGGTTTATATCAAAATTGATGCGCAATGCAAATAAAATCTGTTCCTCAGAGATTTTCTCTTTTTTATATATTTTTAAAACATAAAATTATTCCAAGTTAAGGTAAAATCCAAATAATATACTGTACCTAAGAATATTTAAAAAAAAAACTTAGATTTGGATAGACAACCAGATTGTCATTCTCATATACAGCTTTAAGCTTTTAAGGATGGTGCTTTATATAAGGCACTAGGTGGTATATATGGAAAAACAATTTCAAAAAACTTATTGTTATATTTATATGGAACTAATGTAAAATAATTCCACTTCAGTGTCCAGAGCGATGTCAAACTACTTTGACATTAAAAGTAACATAGAGATTAGAACATGCAGTCGAAAGCTCTCCTCAAGTTGCAATCAGATGCCTTTGTGTTTTTTTTTTTGTCTTTATTTAGGGCCCTATTGAGCAGAAATGTTCTGCAGGCCTTCTGCGCATTGATGGCTGCCGAAGAGGCTTCTTCACTCTTTTAACCTATTCAGCAGAAATTTGGCATTCCTGTTGAACCCTTACTTAGCCACTTTCTCAGGGGCCATTCTGCAGAGAGTCCAAAGGGGTTAAGGCATCCCTTAATTCCGTTATTTGGCCGTCACCTTTTCCCCAACCCCAGGATTTATAAATCCCAAGCCTTAGAAATGCAAAACTTTTATTAGTTACAAAGATGCTCCTGAAGCTTTCTACAGTTTTCATTCTAACATAGTTACCTGTGTCTATCAGGAACACCCTTCTATTTTTACTGATGGGCTTTCTGTTAAATTATATAATAAGTCACATTGTCCCAGTCAAGAGGATAATCCATTTTGATATACATTTTGAAATTTATCAAAATCCTATTTTTATTATGGTTATTGTCATAAATACGATCTTGCCACATCCTACTTGCCATTCTTTGCCAGTCATACTATTGATAAACCGCTCTTGCAAATTTACAGTCTATGAATTACCATGCAATAAATGTTCTAGAAATTTCCACAAACCGAACTCTAACTCCTTTCAATATTCAAGATGAGCTGCCTGCCCGTAGCCATACAAAAAACTCAGAAAATAAGATTAAATTTATAAAGTTTCCTTTTTAGTCACGCTTGAAATGTCCTTGTAGCTGTCTAGGTGGCAGCATGGATAGTTATAATTATATTGTAATTTATATTCAGTACAAAATTATAATTAATTGTAACAATTGTTAGGGGTGGTTGAATGGTCAGCCCGATGTTGAAATTGTAAAACAAGGGAAGGGATAAATTCCTATATTTTTTCTGATTTTTTTTCCCTATTGAAAAATTAGGAATAAGAGTTTATAGTCATAAACGTATTTAATATTGTATCCTAAAAGTACCCTCTAAATATCTATACAGTGAGAAGCCTTTCTCAGGCATCATTAAAGTTATTACCTTGAACTGGAGGGTGCATTTCTGCCACTTTCCCCAAAGCGAAGGAAGGATTTGATACCTTCTTTATATGTTGCCTTTCTTGTTCACTTTTATAGAGGTTGGGAATCTGGCCCTTTCCTTCTACCATCTTGATGGGTAGGGAAACTAATAGAGTGAGCAGCAAATCATTTATTTTTCTAGATATAGAAGCTACAAGCTTGTTATCTGGCCTTTTAAAATTCCTTTTGCCCCTGCTATTTTTTTCTAGTTACATAGTACATATGACCTAGGTTAGCTGAAATAAGATGGTCTCCCAAATCTTTCATCTCAAGATATCTGGAGTAGCTGTGGGCCTGATGAGAACAGAGCAAGTCTAAAGACTTATGACTCTTTTTCTGGTTCTTTGAGATGATTTCCCTCCAGGTGAACAGAGCAGCACAGAGGAACTAAGTAACAACGTTTACTTCTTTACTAAAAGATAAGAGTTCTGAATTCTATATATTAAACTCTATTTTAAGTGTATGTATATTTTTGTAAATTATAAATTGGAATTATAAATTATAGTTAAATTTCTACTAAATAGTTATTTTGTGACAAAAGCACCCACCAAATATGCTTTTAAATTTACAGATCAATCACTTTTCAATGTAATCCAAATCAGGCCATATATATTGTTTTGTTTTCAAAGTAACAAATTGATTATACATCTGTAAAACCTATTTTTAATAAAAAGATCTATTTGTTCTCTACCCAACCAACCACAAACTAAAATGTATTTTCCTCTAATTTCAAACATTTCAAAAACCTTTCAAATTTTATTGAGGCACTATAAATAATTACATGAAACAATTTTAAATGTATCTCATTGTAGACAGGAAGCTTGTGGATTTTGTGGAATGCTTCAAATCATGTTTAGAAAAACCATGACAATACAAGACAAATATTATTTAGAGAGGCATAATTGAAGTAATAACACCATATAGTAAACCATCCATTACAGCTTTCACTAACCTTCTGCAAACAAACGTATAAACTTTGTTCTTTCATTAGATATGTGTTGGAACAAAAGAAGAAAAGTTTTGATTATATGTAGCTATTGGTACTGTCTTGGTTGACTGGTTGGTTGAACTTCCATTTTTCTTTGTAATATTGCCTTAAAGGGTTGAAAAATCTGATGTTCAAGCCCTCATTCTAGGGGAAAGGTCAATTAATTCAGCTAGTAGATTTTGAAGAAAAAGTTGCTACTTAGCAGATATTCCCTGCAGCCTACAACAAATCTGTTAAGCACTTTTTTAAATACTGTACTGTATGCAAGATTACTGTCAATCAAAAAGTGGAATGGCTGACGAGTTCCTAATGGAAAATGAGTCTTCCCCAATCTGATATCTTTCAGACACGTTGAAAATTCTTCAACCAGCATGGCCATTATGGGAATTGAGGACCTGGATTAGGGAAGCTGATGTAGACCAAGACATCTTGATTACAGTATTTTTTTAAAATACTCTGGAGTTATGTGGTTTGGTTAATCAGATTTGTAAACCAGTGTTGAGAAAGTCTGATATCACCGATTCATGCCATCACATGCATAACAGAGAAAAGAATCAAAAGAAATGCTTCATTGCAGAGTTCTGCTCCTGAGGATACAGTCTCATCCTTAAAGATCATAGGCTAAATATCCCATTTTTGCTTCTATGTTAAGTTCTCAATTAACAAATCAATTTTAGAGAATAAAGGATCTCCAGACCTGTACATGCATAGCCACACACAGACGGGCACACATATTTCATGCTACTTCACCTCCTAAAAATTTGAGTGTAATCAGCCATTTAAAACTCTACTATATTTTCTAGATGCCTCTGCAGGTGATTGTGGGTGCTTATTTGTCAATCAAATTTATATAGTTGCCTACCTCAGAAATATGATTCTGGGTGGTGCACAAAAAAATAGTCTAAAACATCTGTGTTGTTGTTAGTTGCAAAATCGTGTCCGACCCATCGCGACCCCATGGACTATGTTCCTCCAGGCCTTCCTGTCCTCTACCATCTTCTGGAGTCCATTTTCTACTGCTTCAGTGACTCCATCCAGCCACCTCATTCTGTAAAACATCTGTAAGCAGCCATTAAAAACAATTAATTATAACTGTAAAAATTGTCAGAGAATAGGCCAACATTCTATATAAACGTAACATTTTGCACAGTTCCTGTTTTCCCAAGGCTGCTGGGGAAAATCATGTTTTTAAGAGATTTCTGGGAGGCATCTCTTTGAGTGACCTAATGTTCCCACTGACATAATGTTCCAAAACTACAACAGAGATAGCACCATAATAGACCACAATATATCTATCCACTCCATCAAGTCACCAGGCAAAGTATTTAATGGATAAATACTTTGCCTGGTGACTTGATGGAGTAGATAGATATAATCAGGCAGACACAAACAACCTGTTCCAATATCATGTTATGGTAATATACACAGACATAGACTATCACATGCATAACAGATGGTAATATACACAGACATAGGTAATATACACAGACATACAAGTGAAACTCGAAAAATTAGAATATCATGCAAAAGTTCAATTATTTCAGTAATGCAACTTAAAAGGTGAAACTACTATATGAGATAGACTCATTACATGCAAAGCAAGATAGTTCAAGCCGTGATTTGTCATAATTGGGATGATTATGGTTTACAGCTCATGAAAACCCCAAATCTACAATCTCAAAAAATTAGAATATTACATGCAATCAATAAAACAAGGAGTGTACATAGAACAATATCGGACTCCTGAAAAGTATAAGCATGCATATGTACTCAGTATTTGGTTTGGGCCCCTTTTGCAGCAATTACTGGCTCAATACAGCAGGGCATGGAAGCTATCAGCCTGTGGCACTGCTGAGGTGTTATGGAAGACCAGGATGCTTCAAAAGCGGCCTTCAGCTCTTCTGTATTGTTCGGTCTCATGTCTCTCATTTTTCCCTTGGCAATGCCCCATAGATTCTCTATGGGGTTCAGATCAGGCAAGTTTGCTGGCCAATCAAGCACAGTAATCCCACAGTCATTGAACCAGGTTTTGGTGCTTTTGGCAGTATGGGCAGGTGCCACATCCTGCTTGAAAATGAAGTCAGCATCCCCATAAAGCTCATCCGTGGAAGGAAGCATGAAGTGCTCCAAAATCACCTGGTAGATGGCTGCATTGATCCTGGACTTAATGAAGCACAGTGGACCAACACCAGCAGATGACACGGCTCATCAAATCAACACAGACTGTGGAAACTTCACACTGGACTTCAAGCATCTTGCAGTGTGTGCCTCTCCATTCTTCCTCCAGACTCTGGGTCCTTGGTTTCCAAATGAGATGCAAAAGTTGCTGTCATCAGAAAAGAGGACTTTGGACCACTGAGCAACAGACCAGTTCTGTTTTTCTTTAGCCCAGGTAAGATGCTTACAGCTCATGAAAACATTTGTTGTTCAGGAGCGGCTTGACAAGAGGAATACAACATTTGAAGCCCATGTCCAGGATCCATCTGTGTGTGGTGGCTCTTGATGCACTACCTCCAGCCTCAGTCCACTCCCGTGAAAGTCCCCAACACTTTTGAATGGCCTTTTCCTGACAATCCTCTCCAGGCTGCAGTCATTCCTGCTGCTTGTGCACCTTTTTCTTCCACACTTTTCCCTTCCACATAACTTTCTATCAATGTTCTTTGATACAGCACTTTGGTAACATCCAACTTCTTTTGTAATTATCTTTTGAGGCTTTCCCTCCTTATGGAGGGTGTCAGTGATGGTTTTCTGCACAACTGTCAGGTCAGCAGTCTTTCCCATGATTGTGATTCCTACTGAACCAGACTGAGAGACCATTTAAAGGCTCAGGAACCCTTTGCAGGCGTTATGGCTTAATTAGCTGATTGGAGTGGGACACTTTGAGCCTAGAATATTGAACCTTTTCACAATATTCTAATTTTCTGAGATTGTGGATTTGGGGTTTTCATGAGCTATAAGCCATAATCATCTCAATTATGACACATCACGGCTTGAACTATCTTGCTTTGCATGTAATGAGTCTATCTCATATATTAGGTTCACCTTTTAAGTTGCATTACTGAAATAAATGAACTTTTGCACGATATTCTAATTTTTTGAGTTTCACCTGTACATATCTGCATTGATGCTGCCATCTCCTTGCTGTACACCATCATGAATGTCCATGTTGCCATCTGATAAATATGGTGCAGTTTTTGAAGACTGAGTGCAGCTAAACCTTCTGGAAGGGGCTTATGATTTGAGTATATCGTTCCATGTCAGGTTTATAAGAAAACATGGGATCTGGTTTGATTACTTTGTTATTAAATGTGTCAACTTAAACTGGAAGTGCCATAATTCACCTGAAGGTGTTCTGCAGCATGTATTATTCAAATTATTCCATTTAACTCTCCAAGCAAATGGGCTGAACCTAGAAAAATCAATTAATCCAATCTGTATACATATAGACACACACATGCACATAAATATATAGGAAAATGAAACAAAGGGAATAAAAAAGGACTTTTGAGCAGTTCACTCAATCTGGGAGATATGTCAGATCTTTCCTTTTTTTCCTTTCATTTTTCTATAATACTAGGTTGACATAACTATATATACTATATAATTATTTATAGTAAAACCTCAAATCAACTGGTCTTGATTTAATTATGCAGATAACACATACTTGGATTTAATGTACTCTTTCATCCAGAACTGCTTCATTAAATTGAGGGTTTTACTGTATATTCTCTTTGTTGTACTAAAATTGGTTTAAAGGAAAAATATGGGTTAGACTTGCTTCCAATGACACTAAAGCAGCATAATAATGGTTAAAAAACAATGAAATAAGAAACCTTATAAAGAATTGTCACTTCTAGCCCTCTTTTTTTAATCCAAGAATAAAGTAGTTTCTTAGCAATTACAATGAAATTAGTTTTATTTTAGTAGTTTGTCATTGGGGAGGGGACTGCCTGAATAACACATAATGAAATACCATATATGCAAACAAAACAAATCTTTTAATCGTACCTTCAAATTAAATATGTGCATTGCGTGATCTCTCTTTGTTGTATCTCTCAAGTTCCCCTTTAGACATGCATCCCAGTCTTGAAGTTTTTAATATCTTCTGTCATTGACTGTGTTGCTACATGTGTAACTCCCACATAAATTTCAGATGTAGAAATGTGAGGAGTTTGTGCTACTTGAAAGATACAGCACATTGTATGAAGCATTAATGAAGAAGATACCTTTCAAGCTAATGAGTTACTCTCTGTCATAATTATCACCCTCAGCAAATATTATTGCTTTAAATTCAAATAGCTGTCAGTAGAAACAGACTAACAAGGAGCTGGATTTAGACTTGATGTTCTGCAAGAAATAAGTTCATTTGTGCTAAAGATTTAAAGCCACTCATAGGTATCATAATCCCAATGATACTTAAAAGGACAAAATGTGCACTGCAACATTATAATTCAAGGTCCATCCTTTCATTCTCACAACGCAACATTGCACACAAAGATATTGGGGCAGAAGTTTATGGGAAGTTCTGGTGCACATTTGGTTATTCCCCAAGATTGCCTGTAATGCCTCTGGAGATTCCTAATGACAGAAAAGGCAATTTTTGTTCATTGAATAATATTACTTCTAATCTAATCTTTAAAAAGAAATGATGAATTTCTGTTCTTTAATGTCATCTTTTCAGTTTCATATTTGGTCACCAATCCCTTCCAAAAATAATAATAGGATATGAAAACAGTCAATTATATAGAAATACACTATATATATATTCCTTTAAAATTCAAATTATACCACTAGGGAGGTGACCAGTAAGTGATAGCTCAAATAGCACTTGTAGAAAAGTAAAACAAAATAATCCTAAATTAGGGGAATAGTTTAAGAAATTAGTGGAAAACCTATTTTAGGGACTTTTTTCTCTTTGTGGTTATTTTAGCAATACAATGTGTCTCCATTCTTGATGTTACAGCAAAAAGATGGAAAGCACCTTTGTTCAAAACAAATTGAATTATTCTTGATTTATCACAGCTTTGTTTCATTCTGATACTATACTGTACGACTACAACTTACTATAAAATTATTGAACCTATGAACAAATAAAGGCATTTGAATGAAATTGTAATGGAAAAATAATTATACCATAAGGTCCATTTTTACAAGGTAGCTTGTTCTATTATTTTTTTATAAAAATTATATTAATACAAGAGAAGGGAACCCTAAAATCTATTTCACTTTGATTCCCACTGTCATTAAATATTGTTCATCAATGTGGAAATTAGCATCATTCTCTAAAAAGTTAATAAGCTGTGGCTAACTGATATAAATGCAACTGTGCACATCATTATGTTCAAACACTGCATTAAGAGATGGCTTCTAATGCAGTGGGTTGGGCAAGGAACAGTTGTTGAAAGTACATCCGTGTCCTGCAGTTCTTTCAAAGGGCCTCAGTCACCCTGAAATAAAATTATATAAAATAAAAACATTAGGATGGGACCCCGTTCAGAAAGGATAACACGGGTGATCACCTCAGCAGCTAAATGAGCTAACTAACTTGTTACAGTTCAGGCTTTTCAAGAAGATGGACTCTCGTGTTTCTTTTCTAGTGTTTTCTCTTTCTGTTTTTCTTTGATCAAGACAGAGTGACTACAGGTGACCATTTATCATATGGAAATGTTTCCCATTGTGTTTGTAGGCATTTGAGAAGTTGGTGATCTTTTATCACGCTGCAAATAATAATAATTGCACTGCTTAGTAAGCTTTGATCAGAACCCTCTAGAGAATTTGGAGGGAGGGACAGCTCAAACAGTTTATCAGATGATTGCAAGCACATGGTCTGGTATCTGCACTTCTCATAAATAATCCACTGTATACACTCATTATTAAACTGGAATGTTTTATTCAGTTGCATGCTGGATACTCATCCTTCATTTTTATTTACTATCTGTCTCCAA